TTGAATGCTATCTCGTTTCTAACCCTAGTCCAAATTACTATCTCTTATGTAGGCTACTGCGGTAGCTTCATAACCGGTCCCCCCGCCACCATTTTACCCATACCCATCTTGATCATCTGCAGAAAAGCCAGAATGTTCTTTTCTTCTATTTTTTTTTTTTTAAGAGATGGGGAGAGGGTGCCTGGGTGGCTCAGTTGGTTAAGCGACTGCCTTCGGCTCAGGTCATGATCCCGGACTCCTGGGATCGAGTCCCACATCAGGTTCCCGGCTCAGCGGGGAGCCTGCTTCTCCCTCTGACCCTCTCCCCTCTCATGCTGTTTCTCTCTCTCTCTCTCTCTCAAATAAATAAAATCTTAAAAAAAAAAGAGATGGGGAGAGAGAGAGAGAGAGAGAGGAGAAGGGTGAAGGGGCAGAGGGAGAGAGAATCTTAAGCTCCACGCCCAGCACGCAGCCTAACATAGGGCTCAATCGCACAACCCTGAGATCATGACCTGAGCCAAGGTCACGAGTCAGAGGCTTAACCGACAGCCACCCAGGCACCCCCCAGAGTGAATGTTCTAAACCATAAATCAGATCTGTCACTCCATTGCGACGAGAATAAAATCCAGACTCCAAACCATGGTCTTACATGATCTGGCATCTGATTATTCCCTGACATCATCTTTCCACACTTTATTTTCTGTGCTCCCTCCTCATCAGCTTTTGTCCCATTCCTGAAGTACACCAAACGCATTGTTCTCAGGGCCATTGTGTTTACCGTGTCTTCTGTTTAGAATGCTCCTCCTTTGACTTTCCTGTGACTGCTTTCTACTCATCACTCACGTCATTTCATTGTGGCTGCCTTTGAGGAGCTCCCCCTCTCTTTAATATTATGATTTTATTTGTGTGTTTATTACTTATCTTTCCAGTTAGGATGGAATTTTCTTAAACTCAAGGACTTTATCTTTCTCATTGTGAACTACGAAATAGTATCTGGTACGCAATAGGGTTTTAATAAGTATTTATTGACTGTTGATTCATTGAGGACTCTGAAAAAGTATCTTTCATTGACTGGAAGAAAACAAATTAGGTTTTGAGAATTTTTCTGTGATTAGACACTGTATTCTGTCTTGATCAGAAGCCTGGGAGGTAAGTCATCCAAGAAAGAAGTGGAGTAATTGTTAAAAACAATTACTTGTTGTTAAAAACAACTCTAGACTATAAATAAACCTCAATACTATCTATCCGTATATACCATTAGTGTATAGCTCTGAAGTAATTTTCTGATAAATCAATTCTAACTAGGAAGAGGAAAACAAAATTTAATAACAAACTCTTTGATCTGTGCCTCGGATAAAAATGTGTTGAGTTGTAAAGATGCTAATTTTATCTACTTCACAGCTAAGATGTCTTCTTCATGAGTAGTCCACTGATTCCCCATTGCCTGTTTTTGTTTTTTATTTTTTTTAATGGCAAATTGATATTTATTGTGGCTCAGTGTCTTTGTTAGGAAGAAGGAAGAAAATGGGACATTAGGAAGCACACATCTAATTCAGAGTCCCTAAAATGGTTTTAGCATCATGAGTTATAATGGCCACAGGTTGTTGGTCAGCTCACATCTTTGTGGAGCTTTATCATTCATAAGGCAATTACTTCACATACTAGGCTTAAAATTGGAAGAGTAGGTAAGTTTCATTTCTAAGCATTAAATTCATGACTTGTAGGACAGCTAAGGTTGTCAGCAAGCAGAATGGAGAGAGTCCAGACTTACAGAATCTTGGAATTAGAAGGAATTCTAGTGATAGTCCTCTGAATCACATAGTAACAGTGAATCAAGTAAGCGTAGTCTGTATTCGAATTGATTACCAAGACAGACGTTTGACTGTTGGTGATGTCCTGATGTTTTTCAATCATATATCTTATACTCCTATATTTTATTCTTTTCAGACTGGCCCTCACTGCCATAAATAAATTTGAAGAAGCAGTTACAAGTTACCAAAAGGCATTAGATCTTGACCCTGAAAATGATTCTTATAAGTCGAATCTGAAAATAGCAGAACAGAAGTTAAGAGAGGTATCCAGTCCTGTAAGTTATTAATGACAGATGAGGGAAATATTTTCTGTCATCCTCAATTTATTAAGATCAAATTATAGTGGTTGGACTAATTCTCAGATATAATTGTTTTACAGACAGGAACTGGATTGAGCTTTGACATGGCTAGCTTAATAAATAATCCAGCCTTCATTAGTATGGTGAGTATATTTCCTTTTCTGCTCTGCTGGCTCTGTTTTCCATAGAGCTTTATGGTTCCCAAACTTCTAGAAACAAATACGAAAGCTTTTGTGGTGGTGGTGGTGGTGGAGTGGGGATACAGCACTCTGGCTCAGGTTTTTAACCTGCCTATGTACCTCTTTGTGAGAAAGCCATGGAGAGACTTTAGGAAGCCCACGGATTCCCTGAAAATGTATAAAAAATTTTTTATACATGTGCACATATGCACTTTTCTATGGAGAGAACCATATTTTTCATCCAAGTGGCAAAGGGGTCTGCATATCTACAAAAGGTCAAAAACAACTCTTTTCCATGAAAGCAGCCCTAGGAAGATCTCTAATAATTCAAGTCTGAGTAGTTTGACTGTCGTGGTACCCTAAGCTCTCCTCTCATGGTCTGCTTCCTTTCTATCCTAAGAGTTTATTTGAACTTTTAGTATAGTCCTCAGATGTATGTATTCCATCCTGCAAAAACAACAAAATGACCCATGGATCTTTTTGAAAATGCACATACTCTGGTCCAGTTTGTGGAAACTCTGATTTAGTGGATTGGGATGTTACCTGGGCATATAAAGCTCCTTGAGTGATTATTTCTGGTTGAGAATGATTCGTTCCACCACATGCCATGCCCTTGGAAGGCAGCAGTACCCCTTGAATTCATCTTTGGTTCTTTAAAAAAATGTGTCATGCATCCACGGAATCATTGAATTGAAATGCACAGATGGCTCATTCTCAGTGAGATAAAGAAGTCTTTTAAACAATTAGTAGGTTTGTAGCAATTGGCAGTTTACAATTGGTAGTTGAGATCTTTGTAGACAGTGGTTAATTTTTGAATCACTCACTCTAACTGAGGTGTTGGGAAAGCTACTACTTGCTTTTATTATCAGAGAGATAATTATTTGATTTGCAACTAATTCAGTAACTCTTCTCAAGTCTCAGGATTGAGCGCATCACATTTAAGTTGGTCTTCCTGTGTACATGCCAGCATTTATATGGCTCTTTGTAGGTTTTGTGACATTTTTAGCATTGCTACCCATTTCTAGTCCTCAGGTTATGCTATTGTAGTAGGATGTGAAAATGGATTTCTTCTAGTTTCAGATTTGTCTTAGCCCTCAAGATGCTATGTACCAAAGTGAAGTGTTGCAAAAGGTGGCAGTTAAAAACATACTGTGTGACTTGTAAAAAAAGAGGTTGATAGGCAGTGAGAGGATTTTTGGAGAAAGCTATTGGAGTTACAGAGCCTTTTTCCATGTGTGAGGGAGTGAAGGGGGCCTGTCCTCCTCTCAAGCCTCCAGAGAAAGGGCTTTTCTGGCCCACTCCTGAGAGCTTTCCAGATGGCCCCCAGTAGGCTGGTGTCTGACCTGCTGGCTAAAGGAGCCTGTGTGGTTTAGCAAGTAACTGTACTGATGCCATTGGAGTGGAGGGGTGTTTTTGGTGGACCAGGGTGAGCACACTTGCTCATAAGATAGTCCAGTGCAATCTGCCCGGAAAGGCCTCCTGAAGGTGACAGGACAGAGTCTCTAGAGGAGGACTGCAAAGAACTTGGGACTAAAGGGAAAGTCACAGTGTCCATGTAGAGAGTAAATGTAGAGAGAGGATAGATGAGAAATGTCCAGAGGGGCAGGGGTGGGAGAAGTTTCTGAAGGTCCTTAGAAAGAGCCCCAAGAGAGATCCCGAGTAAACAGTCTGCACAACCAAAGAGCACCAATGCAAAACCACTGAGATAGGACCAGTCATCAAATAACTTTCCTGTAGCCCTGACTCTCTGGCTTCCTCGAGGACCAGGACTCTTGCCTAGCGAGCGGGGGGGAGAGGCGTAGAAGCACTGTGGTGAAAAAGAGCGGGCCGTTGTGCCTCTCTCTTCCAGTGCAACTGGCCCATGTGAAGTAGGCCCAGGCCGGGGAGGGGAAACACTTTGCCTGTAAATGAAGTTTTAGGTATTTGCTTATTACAGTGAGCAAGATGTGCAGTACTCAACCGGAGGTCATTTTCTAACTTAAAGCGACTAGCGGGAGCCACCTGGGTCACTCAGTTGGTTGAGCAGTGGCCTTCAGCTCAGGTCATGATGCCAGGGTCCTGGGATTGAGCCCCACATCGGGCTCCCTGCTCAGAGGGGAGTCTGCTTCTCCCTCTGCCTCTGCCCCTCCACTCATCCTCTCACTTTCTCAAATAAATAAATTAAAAAAAAAAAAAAAAAGCAGCCAGAGGACTGCTTACTTAAAAGTGACCAGAAAAGCCCTAGAATCTGCTCTGTATTTCTTCTAGGTCCTAGAATCTAGAAGAGGATGAACTGCTTTTGCAGAATCAGATTAAAAGGATTGTGAAACAAAAGGCTTTATATTTATAGCTCATAAATCCTGCTTTTTCTGTGTAAAGACCCATAGTACTTGTGTGTTGGTGCAGAGGCACCAATCCTAACCAAGACTTGAGGAAAGTTACTGAATTGCTTGCAAGTAAGTCAAACAGTTCTCTTTATGGCAATGAAGCGAGTGATGGCTTTTTCCAACACCTCATTTAGGGTCAGTAAATCGAAATTACTGTCCTCAAAGATTTAAATTTTACAAGAACATTTGAGGCCAAAAAAAAAAAAATTGATATGCTTTCAAAATAGAAAGTTTTACAAGTTACCTGAGCCAAAGGCAGACGCTTAACCAACTGAGTCACCCAGGCGTCCCATTTGCAACGTATTTTCAATGCCATTTTTCTTAGTACTTCCTCTTTTTTTACATTCATTCACTTTGTTTAAAAGTACACTAAAACTAGGGACGCCTGGGTGGCTCAGTCGGTTGAGCGTCCAACTCTTGGTTTTGGCCCCGGGCATGAGCTCAGGGTCATGAGATAGAGCCCTGCATAGGGTGCAAAGCCTGCGTGGGATTCTTGTCCCGTCCCACAACCCCCGTTTCATGCACGAGTGCTCTCTCTCTCAAAAACAGTACACTAAAACTCTAAAGAATGTTAGAACATGTGTGGTTTAGCTTTCATTCCTGTTTTTTTTTTTAATCTTTGTTAAAGACTCTTAAAATATTGACTGCCTTTAATGGGAGATGCCATTTTTAAATTCCAGGCAGCAAGTTTAATGCAGAATCCTCAAGTTCAGCAGCTGTAAGTATATTTTCCCCTCCCATCTGCCAGGCTCCTAATTTGAGCACATCGGCTCCACATGATAAGTGGTAAATGGTAGATGAATGCCAGCCAATTAGAACTTAGAGCCATTCACATTTGGCCTTCCTACACAGCGCGGGTATATTTAACTGACTTCTCCTTAGCCAGTGTCCTACTTGTTAGGAATATATGCCCATCTCAGTGATGTATTTCTTGCCTATTCTAGAATGTCAGGAATGATGACAAATGCTATTGGGGGACCTGCTGCTGGAGTTGGGGGACTAACTGACCTGTCTAGCCTCATCCAAGCGTAAGTGTTATTTAAGATAGAAATAGTAAAAAAGTTTATGTTTTACAGTTTGTCTCTGAAGTGACCAGGGCTTTCTTTTAAAAATTTTTTCTTTGACTGTTAGTATCAGTGGCCTCATTAGTTACTGAATCTAAAGAAATTCATAACATGGAATTTTCAGACTGAAGGGCAGGAATTCAGAAGATCTGTACCCATGAAAAAGTTTTTTGGCAGATTTGAATAGCTACTCAAGGATGTAGATGAAAGTCAAATATATGCTTAAAGTATGTATTAATTTAGGTAGACTCATATATTTAAAAATCATGTATTCCATATATTAATGTCCCTACAATTTAGGAAACTATTTTATTTGAACTTTTTCAGTGCATGTCATCACCAAAGGAACTCCTTGATCTTCTCATTACTTGAGCACACTACCTTCACTTCTACCCAAGTTGCTTAAGATACTCTGCTTTTTGAATTGACTTTTGAATCTGTGTGTCATGTTGCCATTGGAAATTTTATATGAAGACACAAGGACCGTTTGCTTTTTGTGATCGCAACCATGTAACCCCACTTACAAGATTGCATTTTTACAGTGATCTTTACATGGCATGATTATAGTGATATGTAACACTTGCAGTTGAAGACTACACACGGAGGAATTTGTATTAAGATTCTTTGCCTTTGTAAAAATCAGTTATGTCAGGTGACATATAGGTGATGAGAATGGGTGTGGCACCTATCATACCTGATGACAAGAAAAATTCCTTGCATTGTATTTGAGCACCTACAGCGAAAGCATGTACTATTCAGCCCTTTGTTTATTTGTGGTTAAGCCCCAGAGGGGGTGGATTTCACCCTGATTTCAGGAAGTCACTTTTTAGCGTGGTTGTTTTGTTTCTTATGAAGAATACTGCACTGTAGTAATGCTATATGGAGGTTATTTGTAACTGGAAGATACTAAAATCCGGAGTCTAAGATCTGTTTTTGTAGAAAAATTTCCCTTTGAGTAATACCCACATCCTCTGCAGTTCTCTTTGCATGGGTATGATATGACTACAAGTTCCCTAATTCATACCACTTTGCCTCTTTACTATAGGGGACAGCAGTTTGCTCAGCAGATACAGCAACAGAATCCTGAACTTATAGAGCAACTTAGAAATCACATCCGGAGCAGATCATTCAGCAGCAGTACTGAAGAACATTCGTGACTTGACCAGGGACCCTGGCCCAGAGCACAAATGATTATGGCTCTTGAGTGTTTGCTGTAGATAGTGGCCAAAACAAAGACACCTAAAGAATCAATCTGTCTAGATGATAGGTTTATCATAAAGACTTGAACATAACATGACTCCTTTGTAAACAAATGATCAGTAGCCCTGTGGAGTGCCAGTGTAGTACTGGACAGGGTTCCATTTTCAAATCTTCATCATCATATTTGTATATTAGACCTAATAGCAGAGTATATTTATTGAACAGTAAGGCTGTTTATTGGTGAGCTCTCCAGCTCCAGATTCCCTTAAGCAAACTTCTTTGAAAGATGGAGATGATGAAGAGGAAAGGTTTCTCATGCTGGTTTAGGAGAAATATCCTGGCCACTGAACAGCGTGTCTGGAGAGAAGAAATTTATTGTCTAGATTTCATTTGGAAAGTGCTCTCAGGACTGAATATAGATCACAGGGCCAGTACTATCTTTAATGCTGCTTGTTCTGATGGGTAACAGGGAATACTGAGAGCTGGTGGAAAGCAGAATTTGGTGCAGGGGTTGTTTTTTGAAAAGGAAAATAGATGCTGTGAATGTACAGAGAGTGAAGGTAGGATGTTCAGGTTTTCTGCATAGTTCTTAATTCATCTTGCCTGCAGTTTGGTCTTGATAACATTAGCATGGCCAATTACTCTAAGAACATAATAAAATACATTTAGAAATCCTTAATGGTTGTTTAGGTCCTTTGTATAACTATTCAATTTAATGTACACAATTTCTCCAGTGGTGACCTTACCATGGAAACTCTCAAATATATTTACATTTAAATAAGCCAGTGGTTTGACCCTCAAGTTAAGGATTTTCTAAGTGGCATTTAATTATGTGCATATAAATACTGATTTTTTAAAAACTCACTAATTATTTGATGGATTACGAAAAGCTTCTATCACTAACATTGCTTGTTCATGTAGACCTTTGCTGTAATTTGGCTTGGCATGTTGCTTTTATGCTTAATCTTAATTTGATGCAATGTAAACATAACGGGACTTAAAATATTTCACTGAAATCAGAACTCATAGTAGTTAATGAAGAAATGTGGCATTAAGTATTAATGGCATGGCTTTAACTACAGTGATGGAAAGACCATTCTAACTGGAATTTCTTTTGTTAATTACAGAATTGGTAAAGTTGGGTGAACGCACAATTTCACAAGTGTTGTGAGAGACAACTGAAAAAGTAATACAAAATTAAGTTAGTAATACTCATGATGAGGGCTTTACTATAACTATTGTCCTCAGAAGACCTGGTATGTGTAAGTTTAAAAACCAACTTTTCCTTTCTTTCCCTTCTGAGATTAGAACAGTGGTTCTGTAATTTCACTGTAAGAATTCATTAAAAATGCAGTTTTAATGGGTCCTGGAGTAAGGCCTGGGAATCACCATTTTAAATAGCATACCAGGTGGTTCTGATGTAGGTCCAAGGACTCTAATTTAGAGGAACAGTTAAGTTAACAGTTTTAACAGTTAAGTTCTTAGACTTCTCCTCAGAACAGCAAATACATGACTGCCTGTGTTCACGCTACAAGGAAGACCCATATAAATCTATAGTTCTGGCCAGAGAAGAGCAGGACTTAAAATTTTAGGCCCTCTGAATGAAATCTCCTATATTCTATCTAAGCCAACTTAATTTTTTATAAAGTTAAATTCAGGTTCTAGTGTTCAAGTGTTACACAGAATGAGGTACTAACTATTCACATGAAAGGTAGGACTGTTCTGGAAAAAAAAAAGTAAAAGGTGATCCACAATTAAAAAATTAGCTACTCTTGGGGCACCTGTCTGGCTCAGTAGGTAGAGCATGTGACTCTTGATCTCAGGGTCATGAGTTCATGAGTTCAGGCTCCACGCTGGGCATAGAGCTTGCTTAATTAAAAAAAAAAAAAAAAAAGCTACTCTTATCCAGTGGTAAGAAAAAGTTTCTAGCAGACCTATCTCGAGTGCATTAAAATGCTTTTAGATCAATAAAATTGGTAAGCCTCTAGGTGACTGACTAGGAAAATAAAGAAAATACAAATCAACAGTACCAGACGTGAAAGGGGTATCACCACAGCCTTCCGGACTTTAAAGGGATAATCAGAAAATATAATGACCAACTCTAGGTCCATATATTGCACAACTTACATGAAACAGATTAATTCCCTGTAAGATAAAAATTACCAAAGCTCAGTGAAGAAACAGATATCCTCCAGAAGAGCAAGCTACGGGCCCAGATGATTTCAATGGTAAATTCTACCAAACATTGACAGGAGAAATAATATCAATTCTACACTATGTCTTTCAGAAAACAGAAGAAGAGGAAACACTTTCCAACTCATTTTATTTAGTTATTTACTCTGATAACAAAGTCAGACGAAGGCATTATAAGAAAAAACACTTTAAAACAATGTCTTGATTTGCTAATATCTATAGTTGGGGTAAGCCATTCTTTTTACATGAAGAGCTGGTATATTCCTTCCATTTCAACTTTCTAGTTTGTTTCTTGGTTGATATACCACCTATAACAAATTCAATCTACGTATGCCTTCATCACTTTGGAATCACTGCAAATTATTTCAAGGAAGTTTTGTGCAGTTGGATTGTGCTAGCTACTCTTAAAATTTAAGGGATGCCCCAACTACTATGCTGGCTTGTCCTGAACAAGAGGACATGAAAGTAAATCTTTATATACATTCTACTTAGGAATGATTGGCTTCTGTTAACCACACTTCATTGTAATAGCTGTGGCTGTCATGATGCTATGGAAAACTTAAAAAGTCCCTTTTATGCAAATGACATTTTCATTTAATGTGCCAAACTGTTTATCTAATTTTTATAATATGGCTTAAACAGATCCTAAGATGACATTATCTAACCTTTACTTAAAGAATGGGCAATATGTATCATAAAAAGAGACTCTAATTAAATCAAATTATATAGCAGATTCCAAGTGACCATTATGTTACTTTTAAAATCTGGACCAATGAAACAGAAGGTTCAGGCATGAGAAGATGCTTAAAAAAACAATCGAAATACACAGTGCAGTGGATATAAAGTCTTATCATTCAATCATCCTTACTCATTCTGGAAGAAACACAGACTTCAGCTTTATACTGCTTGCACTTTATTTTGCACAGATATTTCATTAGTGCAACTTAAGGGGCAAATCTCGTTTTGAATATAGCTTTACTCTGGACCAAATAATTTGTCATGGCAATAAATAATTATGCATTTAAGAAAAACCAATTTTTATATTTGACTTAATGCACTCTAACATTTAAGCAATTATATTTACATCCTTGAATTTCAACTTACCAAAATAAGCTTTTATTTAACAGCATAAGCTTTTGGTTTCCTTACAAAATATTGAAACTTATATATTATATATTCATGTTGCAAACTTGTTTACAATCTTAACTTTCTTACTCTTTTGTTCCTGGAATAAGTAAATCACTGTGATTACATACAGAGACAGTCTTATAGTATTAATACATGACGTAGAGTTCAAAATCAAATAGCAGAGGTGGAAATCCTTTAAACATGCCTTATGAAAGTAAGGGGCTTATTTTTCAATGTGGAAAAAAAAAACAAACCAGGACTTTTTGGCTTAGAATTAGAAAATTATCAGGATTCTTAGTTAAAAGTTAACAGTAATCAACAATCCAAGAAATTAAACCAATTCTGATCTGCTGTTAGTAACTGAAATTTAGACCATGTGGGTTAATATGTAACTACAAACATAGGTACATACAAACAGAATAACTGAAAACTGAGGAGAACTCATACTGTGTTAGCAATATAAGGTTACATGAGCCCTACTCCCTTTGTCTTAAGCTTTTTCTGCTGACTGAGGAGTTAGGAAAAAAACTGGGGTTAATTGGAAACTTAAATAAAGTATAAGAGTCGAAAGTTTTAAACAACTGTATCTTTTAGACCAAGGTCAGCAAATGATGGCCTACAGGCCAAATCTGGCCAGTTGCCTGTTTCTGTAAATACTGCCTGCTCTTTTTGCCTCCTGGCTGCTGACCCACTATGACAGCAGAGTTGAGTATTTTCAACAGAAACCACATTTCCTGCAAAGACAAATATTTAGTATCTGGCCCTTTACATAAAATGTTTGCTAACCCCCCATTCCAGATACTTGCTAGGGACAAACAGCCTCAAATACAGAGCTTTTGGAGAACAAAGTCCAATGGTTATCTAAAAATGGAATAGGCTGAGTGTAGAAAATGTACAAATGTCCATTCAGAATGTAACTCACGAGATAAAATCTGTAGATGGTTCTTTTCAACACAAGTATTTAATATTTTAACTTTGGCAGAAAAGAAATTTAAATAACAGGTACTTATTTTTGTTGTAGACTTGATTTCACAAAGGTGACAAAAATACAAAAAGTTCTGTGAAATTCAATGAAAAGCATAACATTGGAAATCTTCTTCAGCTCTCCACTTTAATGGCCGAAGATACCACACAGACCTGTGCGATGTCATCATATTCATATGTTCTCTTTAAGAACGTGTCTGTTAGTCTTAAGCCGGAGACACTCTATTGAGAGAAAGACAGAGGCATGAATTTTCATTCATTGGTAATTACCAGAGAAAATGTAGAAAGAGTCAATGCCCATGGGTTAATAGTCCCCAGATACCGAAATGACTGAAAAGAGCGCGCACCTGCAGTCCCTGTACTGAGGACAGCAGAGTGAGGGCAAGGCAGAGGGAGGAACTAGGATGCAGCTTCCCAAGCTGTCTTCCTGAAATGCCGCACCAGTGGATAGAATTGGTATTGCACATTTCCAAAACCAGATCCATAGTCCTTTCACTGCTGGAGGAATCAGAAAGACAGGAATAAATCTTGTTCCTTTCACACAACGGTACTTGGTATTTCTTCCACTAGTGGCAGTGAATTTGTTTTCAGGGTATCCAGGAGAATAAAAAGCAGAATCAGAAACAGAAAGCTGTAATGTCATTTTTATTTCACTTAAGGTAGAATCAGGGAAATAAAAAGAGATGGCATCTTCTAGGGTTTAAAGTGGTGCTGAGATTGATCTGCCTGACTGGATATAAGCCTTCTGGTTCTATTATTGAATCCTGGCTCCCTGGTGCTGATCTGTTAACAGCTCTGCCATTTCTCTGGGAGACTTCCAGACATCTGTGTCTAATCTCGTTGTTATGTTTCCTATTTCTGTTAGGTACTCTACAGGAAAGAAAAAGATAAACTGAGTCTTTCTGCTATTTAACCTA